CCTTTGGGCTGGTAAAAGGCCACCACTCTTCCCACCAGTGCTCTTCTGTACTTAGCCGAGGAATTTACCAGGGTGGGACATACCCCCTATTCCATACGTTTAAGAATGTTCACCAATTAGATACTGATGCTAGAAAGGTGACCGACATTGTTGAAGTCCCTGGAATTGATCAGTGATTTAATCTAGTCTAGAGAATGTTTGAATTTAAATCACGAGGTAGTTTTACCCTTTTATATCAAACTATAGAGTTCTATTTGATAAAGGGAAAAAGAAATCAACTTGAACACAGATTTTTAAAAATGCTCCCTCCCCCAACTGAACCAGCCTGTAGCTCTACGTGAGCTCCCCCCCAAGTGAGGCGCTGCTCAGTCGTGGATATTTGAGAGCGATGATGTAGATATGTTCTTCCTGACATGAAACCTAGACTAATGAACTATTTGTCTCGTTAGCTGTAGGGAGATTGGCTGGGCTGGATCCAGGCACTCTAAGTTAAGCCTGAACTTGCCTAAAGTTCTGACAATCTCTAGCTACTCAAGTCATATTTCCAAAAACAGTGCAAGGTCAGCAAGTGTGAGCTGATGCTATGCCAGCCTCTCGGTGATGACCTGTGGCTTTTAGGGAAAGAAAGGGAAGGAAAAAACGCTCCTGCTCTGTGAGGGGAAGCAGGGATTCCCGGAGTCCCTTCTGAAGCTCTTGTTTTCCTTCCAAAGGTCAAAAGGAAGACAGTGGATAGATACTTGAAGTTCTTCCGCTGTTTGTAAGTAATCAGAAGATTGCAGAGGGTGGCTGGTTTTCTCCATAACTCCATTATCCTTTCATATGTCTTCTTGTTTGGGGGTGTGCTTGGTCACCTCATTAAGTGCTGCTCCCCTAATTCCTTTGCCAAACCAATTTTACCCATTTTCCTCTGGATTTTTTGGGAATGTGTCACTTTCTTCTGTGTTGCTGCAATCCTTGGGGGACATTTTCTTTACAGTAGGGGCGTTAGGTCATGGGACCGTCTGTCTGACCCCCGACCACTACTCTACTCTGCACAGGCTGCTCTGGAGAAACGTCCACACCAGACCCCAGAGCTGTGGTTGATCTGGAGTGCAAGTGGGTCCAACTTCCAGAAGGGTCCAGATTTGACTGGGATTAAGAACAGCAGTGACACAGGGTGACAGAGCAGGAAAGGGGCCCCCGGGGTGCAAAGCGATTCCCAAAGAATCCCAAATCAGGTCGCTTAAGCTAGGAGTCACCTGGGCCTGGGAGAAAGTCAAGGGAGGGTGGTCATGAGGCCAAGACCGAGTTTGGGTGTGAGTTTGTGAGCCCAAGTGTGGCCAGCCTACAGATCCCCCTTTAGGAGCTTCTGTTTTCAAGAGAAACCAGGTTAGGGATGCTTTCTGCGTGGTAGTCTCTAGCTCTGGAGATCTGCCCATCCTCCACACATCTCCCCAGCTCTCCCAGGCTAGCTCTAGAGCTAAGTGTCAAAATGCAGTCTGGACAGGAGAGAGGTCTCCAGTGGGTGTCTCCCCCACTTGGTGCCCCCTGACACCCAGGGAGCTTTTGCTGAGCGCAAGCTCCTGCTTCTCCAGCTCTCCCCAGGACCCCAGAGAGGCAGTGCTGCTTGCTGCCCTGTGGCCCTCCTCAGCTGAGCCTCCCTGGGCACCCAGCCGCCCACCAGGCTCTCCGTGGCACCTGGCAGGGCCTCTGGGGAGCTGGGGGACCCTTGCCGGCCTGGGACAAGGAGAGGTGTGAGGCCTGGAGTGCAGGAGCCGGAGCGTGGGCACCTCTGCTCCCCACCAGCTTCAGCCTCTCCCAGGCTTGCCACTGCTGGGTTTAACCTCTTCCTTCCTGGGGTTACCCGGCCTGAAGACCCTGACCCCAGGCCCAGCCTCCACAACCCCGGGCCCCAAGTTCGCCTGCTGGGTCTGTAGGCCCCTGCTTTCCTTGGAAGTGAGCACAGACACGCTCCCTCCACCCGCTGCCCCACCCGACAACGCGCCCCCTGCTCCCCGTGCCCCTTCTCTGCGGCCTTTGTCTGCAGGCCGGGGGAGCTGCGGCAGCACCAAGGGTGGCCCTCCGTCAGGCTGGAGGGGGTTCTCCCTGCTGGGCCCCACTTCCCTGGCCCCGCCCAGGGCCAGGCCGCACAGAGCCGACTCCCGGCGGGGGGATGGAGGCTCCCCGCCTGATTTTTGTTGGGGTGGAAGTCTTGCGCTTTGGAATTGTTGGGCGTCTCTACCAGCAGAGTGGCAGTGACCCCCGCGACCAAACGTTGCCCTCACTGCGTTCATTTTTTCCCCGAGTGTCCCCACACCCACTTAGACAAGTGTGGGAAGTGAGGAGACAACGGAGCTGCCGAAAAAGTCACCCTCCTCCAGCCCCGTTTTAAGGAGAAAAAAAAAAAAGGGAGGCTGAATCAGCAGCCAGGCACCCAACGTCCGCAGGAGCGCTCCTGCCCTCCGCAGCCCTGCGCGAGATTTTATTTGTAATAGTAGTCTCGCTATTATAAATCCACGTGTCTAGAAGCCGTCTTTCCTTTTTGATACTCTTCCAGGTCCTTCTTTGTGCAGATAGATAGCCCGGGAAGTACGGAGATGGTTCTCTGAACGCGGGTGGTTTGCCGACGCTCTCCAGCACCTGCGAGGTTAGGAGTATTCCAGGTTCCGGGGTCCCGGCCTCACTTGACGCTAAGGAGAAACAAACGGCCAGCGGTGGCTCTCCTGGTCCCGCACGGAGAAGCCGACCTTGAGCGCGGCTGCCGCGGCCGTCAGGGTCGGGCAGGAGGGGGAGCGCGGCTCGCTGGACGCAGGGCCGAGCGGCTGCAGGGCTGGCTGGCATCTCCGGGACCGGAGGAGAGAGCTGCAAATGCCCACTCCCCGCACCCCCCAGAAGCAGAGCCAGGGCGGTGTGCCCGATTCGCAGGGGGCGGGGGCTGGGCCTCAAGCATGTTTCCCAAGCTTCCTGAAACAGCTTGTTGCGATGCCCGTGTTGTAAGATTTACAATTCCCTCAATGTGGGCAGCTTCCGCCCAGTTTCTCCTGCCCTCATGGCTGGCCCTTTGTATGGTGCTTACTCTCAAGAGGCGCTCTTTTGGGGAATTATTGTCATGTTTGGGTTGGCTTTGGGTGGCCTGATGCTCTTAATTATTTCTCTCCACATTCCTTTCTTTTTGCCTTCCTCCTCCTCCTGCACCTCCTGCTCCCCTCTCCAAGCCAGTAACTTGGAAATCCGCCGTCTCCCTCAGACCAGCCTGACCCTGCAGGCTGGAGACCTGGTGTCCGCAGGTTGCTGCCTACAAACAGGCTAGGTTGCCTGGAGATAATGTGCTGCTTTGCAGAGTTCCTGCTGCAGCCATGAATATGGGTCTGGATTGCAGGAAAGGACACAGCAGAAGTCCAGCACCATGGGCTCACTTAAGGCTAAGGCAATCAGAGGCAAAGTTTCCCAAGAAATTAGAAAATATTTCTCAGGAGACAGCCTAATTGATCTTTCATGGGACAGGTGGAGAAATTAACCTGGGATGGCTTTGCAGGAAGCAAATCAGCCCTGGGCCTTCCCTCCACTCCTTCTGAGTTCTGGAGACCCAAAGTAATTTGGACATTCCCTGGCTGGTGATGATTAGGGTTCCTCAGAGTTGGAGGAAAATTTCCCAGAAAACCATAAACAGAAGTCAGTAGGGTGTTCCCACAAACTTTACCAGCCCCATTTTCCTAGGGACAGACAGACTATGAGGTTTGATTTTTTGAGACCCAGGGAGGAGACCTGGCAGGTATGAACCTAGCCGGTAATTTGGCAAGGACCCCTCCAATAGGAGGAAAACGTGGGAGCCGACCCACATTCAGTCCATCTTTAGTGGCCAGGTGACCCAGTCCAGCACCTCCTCCTGTCCTCCATCCAGGCTCCCTTCTGAGGGTTAATTTCCCTGGGAGCAGAACCTTGTAACTGCTGTTTGTCCCCCACCCCCGCCCGCCTGAACCCTGGAACCTGCAGAGAGTAGACAGAGCTGGGTTGGAAAGAGGATAGGACCTGGGTGCAATGGGAGGAGAGCTGAGCCAGGCTAGGGGGAGCCTTCAACCCGCAAGGTGGCTTGGCGATCACACTGCCAGGAGGGCTGCTTGCCCGGACCTGATCCTGCCTTGCACAGCCCGGCATGCTCCCCTGGCAGCCCCAGGCCTAGAGCTGCTCTGCAGTGGGCCTCAGCTGCTGAGCACCCCGAAGCCGCCTGGGCTGGCCAGAGCTAGGGCGCCCCAGCTCTCCCTCCTCCCCTCCTCCCCATCCCTCTTTCCACTGAGGGCAATTTTATTGTGTCAGCGCTCCCAAACCCTTGGAGCGTCCTTGCAGAGGCTTCCTGAAGTTTGCAAATTTCCATAAAAATGCATTTTAAAGGATAGACAGGCAAGCTTAGGGGAACAAGGGTGTTTGGTGGGGTGTCTGCAGCTGGGGGAAGGAGAGAAGAGCAAACAAGAAGGAGCCTAAGGGAAGAGGGGGAAGAGAAGAGGAAACAGAAGTTCAAGTTGGACATCTGACAGCGACTGGAAAGAAAGTTTAGAAAGGGGGAGAGAAAAAAGGAGAGGAGTGGGGAGAAACAAACTGGGGCCCTCACCCCTCCACCCCCTTTTAGATGGCCCCTGCTCTCCCGAGGAACTTGTTTAAAGGATTTTAGGACAAAGAAAATGAGGTGAATGGCCTGGTAGCCCGTCAGTGGGGGTAGAGATGTGGGGGTGGGGCTGGGAGGGTTATCTGAGAAGGGGGGCGGTTGCTCTGGGGTGTTTTCTCTTCGGATGGTTTTGAAAGTTTGGCTGAACCGTCAGCCCGCCTCTCCTTTCCAAAACAGAAGATTCAGTTATAACCCGCCATGCTCCTTTATTTCTTTTTCCCCCACACGGAGCCCCAAATCCTATTCCCGCGCTCTTCGGGATCTACACGCATGTTGCATGAGGATCTGTGTTCCCCGGTGGAATCCTGCCATATGCACTCGCCTCCCTGCTCACGCACACGCACACACATGCACACTTACAATGAGTATCTACAGGAGGAGGGTCCTGCGCGCCAGCTCTGCGTTTAAGACCGGAATCTGCCAGGTTACCAAAGTCAAGTGTAAGTGTCAATTTCCCCATCCACCAGCAAGGAAAGGAGACTACAAAAGTCCCTTTGTATCTCAGCAGCTCATTTAATATTATTTATGCATTTTTGTGCAAGGAATTGTGGGATTTTTCCCCATGGTAAACAATATGGAAATGTTAAAAATAGCAATCTTCCAGCGCGTGTCCACGTATGCACACCAGGGTGACCTGACGGGGCTGTCGCGGGGTTTCTCGGCTTCCTGAACCGAGGGCGTTGGGGAAAGCGCGAGCGAGCGAGGAAACACGGTCCCGGGCTCGCTGGGGCCGGGGCTCCGGCACGCGGAGCCCGAGGACGCGGTCGCTTTAAGGGGGGG